GAGCGTAAGCTCGTTGACCGAACCGTGTCCCTGCGAAACAAATGTGTAGAATGGGTAGTACATGATGTAAAAATAAAATATATGAACTCTGGAGAAGAATCAACAACGGTGATGAAATAGCGTATGCAGCTAGGCGATCAGTTGGTGTGAACACTTAGTGTTATTCTGAAGATGTGTTTATATTTAATATAAACCGTCCGACCAGTTAGTGTGTAGCTGAGTCTCCAGCCCTAACTAGCCTGTTAACCATAACGCGGAGCGCGGGGCCCGTGTGCGTGTAGGAAAAGCATGGCGTCGCTGCCGACCACCCCTAACGTAGAGGGCAGGCGCTCGTGCACGTGTAGGGAGAAGACGGAGACAGAGCCGTCTCTGAGAACATCCGAGCATCAACATGACTGTTCGGGGATTTGCTGAGTCGAAAGCGTATGTCATCTTCAAGATGGTATACACGGAGAAAAAAGCCGTTTGGAGAATAAGTATGGAGAAAACAACTCGGAGAAACATTGGGAGATATATGAAATATTTAGAAAAATAATAAAGCATGACTTAGTTTTAGACAGAACGTCTGGTCGGTGGTGTATGGCGTTATCTGATCGACGAATTTGTCCCTTAGGGCATCCTGATGGATGGTGGCCGTATCCCCTAGAGTTTTCCGTTCGGCTTCCGATAGATCGGAATTGGAAGGTGGTCGGCGCCGAACCGGAGTGGTCAGAGCTAATTTCGTGAGAGAGAGTAGTCGGCGAGCTTCTAGCCGACCGATCGATGGATCGCGATCGATCGTCGCTGCCGACCTACTTCCTCGAGTAAGCGGGGCAAGACAGCGGTGGCGAGTTGTTGGTGAAGATGACCTCGGAGGCGGTTTGAGATCGGATCTGCTGTTGCGAGCGTTGGTGGTCGTCGGCGCTGTCGAAGCCGCACCGGCTTGAAGATCTCTCCATCTCCGTCAGCATTGATGACCCAGGAGATCGATTCGACCGTAAAGATCTGGCCAGGCTTTTGAGAGGCCGAAGAGCCTAAAAAGTGTACCATCTTGTTCGTCATGGAAACAACACGCACACCCCTACCGCGCGCATAACCGCCGACGGAATATCGCTGGCAATCCTATAAGGGTATCCCACGAAGGTAGATTGATCGGCAGATGTGCGCGTATTCAAGAACAAGAAGACAACAAAGACACAAGAGTTAGACAGGTTCGGGCCGTCTGCACGACATAATACCCTATTCCTGTGGTCTGTTGGTTTGTATTGGCTATCGTATGATATTGCATGTGATCGATTCGCTTGTCTAGGGACCCCCGCCTCCTTATATACTCTAGAGGGGTAGGGTTACAAGGAAAATATCCTATTTAGTATCACAATATCTTATTATAGCCTTGCGGTGCACGCCGACCAAGCCGATCTGCAAGGCGTCATGCGCCTTGATCTTGTGGGTCAATCTCGATGGTGTGGCCCATGTCTTGTCCTGTGGGTACCAGGGGTCATACCCCCATAAACGTAAAGCTCACCGACTGGACATGACCATAAAGCACCACACAAGCATCCATGCAATCATACACGAAGCAAACAATAGATCTAAATTAGAACAGTACACTAAACATAAAATCAAGACGAAAAGTTTGTAAAATGAATCTACATCTCGCTACGAACACACAGACGCGAAAAACACTCTAATCAGAGCTATAACGAAAAAGTTATGAATTAAACAAGATTTCCTTTAATAAAACAATAGATTAAATCTAACCTCGAATTTCAAAAGTTGAAAATATATTTAACAGTAGGATGAACACGTAGATTACTCAATTACGAATCTAACGCAACTTGAACGGGTCTAATCGGAGTTAAAACAGAGAAGATATGGCCTAATGAAGATAGTGACAATTTTGTAAATAGATGGAACTTGATTTTCGAAATTTAAAATAAATAAAATCTGATTTTAAACCGGCCAAGGACTACGGTTTCAAATCCAAGAAAATGCAGGGGGTCTTTAGCAAAACTGTAGGGATGGCGGGTTATATACTTAAAAACTTGGAGGACTCTTTAGCAAAATTGTCTACGAAGGGGTATCTTCTAATCTTGGCCGTTGGATCAAAGATGGACGGCTACCGAGGGTTGGGAGGATTTCTCCGGCCAGCACAGTGGCTCCGGCGTGGTGGTGGCCATTAACGGCGGCGAGGAGCTCGCCGGCGTGCACGGGGAAACGCCTACGGGCCATGTTACGACATGGGGAAGGCACCGGGAGAGAGGGGCACGGCGAACTCACCTAGGGGCTAAATCGCGGACGAGGACAGCACGGAGACGACACAGGGCTCGTTGGAGCGGACGATGGCTCCCTGCGAAGGATCGGCGGCGGTTAACAGGGCATGGAGAGCAAGAGGCTAGGCTAGAAAGCTTCGTCACCTGGTGCCGAAGGCGGCAAGCGCTTGGAGACGGCGCAGCGACTTCCATCGTCGGGCACGACGGGCGGCGCTTCGACCTCGCGTCGGAGAGATCCAAAACGCGGCAGGGGGGCGCTAGGGCTCGAGGTAAGCGCCACAAGGAGCGAGGCGGGCGGCGGCGGCTCGATATTTATGGAGGTGGGGAGCTTGGCGCGCATGGCAACCGGGCGAAGACAGGGCGGCGACGGAGTCTGGCGGCGGCAGAGTCCGGCGCAACGACGACTCGAGGTAGGGGATGGCGCCTGACAGGTGGGTCTAGGGACGCCGCTCAAAGGCGTGGGGCAGCACAGACAGAGACCGAAAAGTCGGAGAGGGGGTGAGGATGCGGCTGTCTTGGGCTGGCTGGGCCGCCCAAGAAGGAGAAAGGGAGAGAGAGGAGAGCAGCGCATGGGCGTATTTGGCGCTCTTTGGGCTCTGAAGGAATGAGGGAGAGGAGCAGGCTTTCGGGCCAGATTATGGTAGAAATATTTTTTCCATTTTCCAAACCTTTTCTATTTTCCTTTTTCAATCCAAATTCAAATATGATCCAATTCAAATATTGTTTCAAATATACTTTCAATTCGAAATAGTATAAGAACTTTTGGTAGGTTTTCAAAAATAAACTTTGCAACTTTTAAAACTCTTTTATTTTCCAATTCTCTTTCTTTTCTTTTACTTTAAAGCATTTTCAAATTTATTTCCAAAAGCAATTCAAACCATTTTGAATCTTGATTCAAACCACTCAACCAAATAAATCAAATGCATCGGCATGTATGCACAACCATATTGCTACTCCTTATGATGAATTTTATTATAATGAAAAATATTATTTTTCTAATATTTCATGAGCACAAAAATTCAAGATTAAATCAATTTAACTACATTTCCAAAGTAGCAAATTTGAGGGTGTTACAGAATTTCATTTGATTTATTGATTCATATGCAATTTAGTTTGTTTGACACTCAGTACATATATGTTAGGTATTCAATTCAGCAGAGATGCTAGTTTTTGTGTGACTAGTTCTCGGATCGTTGAAAATAATTCTAGGGAGTGGCAGAACTGGAATCTATATGATTTGAATGTCACACGTTATCTGCCACATGGTTAAGACTCTAAAGAGTCGCACAGCTCCCATGGATAGCCTTTTAGTTTTCGTATTAGTCAACAATGTTGAACATTTTCTTGGTTGCATCTTGAGTTGTAGTTTTTTAACTGATGCCTCTTCTTTGAAGAGGTATGAAGCCGGAACTTTTCCTTTGTCCAAAGCAAAATGAGTCGCGCAGAAAATCATGTTTCCTTCTCTGTAAGATGCAGAACCCTTGGATCCACCGTTAAGTCTATTTTCTCTGAAAAAAAAGTTTATTTAATTTTAAAATAAATTTTCAAGAATCACGTGCTGTTATGATGCTGTACATTTTCTGCATCTGAGCTCATGCTTCTCTCTTAACGTGCAGGATGAATGGCAGTTCGTGTGCTGCTGCTTATTAACCCTCTGAGGATTTAACAAATAACTGGGAATGAAGTTCTGAGCTTTTTTTGGTTCTGTATAAATATGTCATGATAACTAGCAGCAGCATGACTAGTGTGTTACTCACATGAACTCCACGCTTCTTATTAGAACTTACTCTGATGTTTCGGGGTCTGAATCTCTTGTCGTTTTGTACTTCTGTTTGCTGACTGATGACTGAAGATTGAAGCAATATCGAACTCCACATTGTGCTATGTTGATGCCTGAATTATTCATTCAGTTCCAAAATGCCTGTGTTGCATGTTCTGCGCTCCTGCTGTTGTGTGGCACTACGAAAATACTCCACCCTTTGAATTCAGCTGCACAAGCAGGTTCTGAAGCCACCAAGTGTGTATCATCAGATATGCTCCATTCCAAATTGTTGTATCTTTTTTTTAGTAATAATTCCATATTGTTGTATCGAACGACCATGAATGATCTTTTAAAAAACAAGACTCGCAGCTGAACTTTGGTAGTTGAAACTGTCAAACTGAGAAGTGCTTTTGATAGATTCTGAAATTCAGAATGACGAACAGATGAACTGCTTTGTTTCACACTGAAGTAAAGCTGGGAAACCTCCTTTTTCTAACAAGAATGATGAACAGATTCGGAAACAATCAAAACTAAAGAATGATGAACAGATTCGGAAACAATCAAAACTAAAGAATGATGAACAGATTCAGAAACAATCAAAACCACAATCAGGCATAATCTTAGGGGAAAACAGCACCAGTTGTACTGCATGCACGAGATTCAATTAGATTCCATAATTAGCAGTGCCGGCCACGCGCTAATTAACCGCCGTGGCAAATTAAGCCGCCGGAGCGTCTGTGGATGGAAATAGAGAAGATGGAAACATCCTTGGCAGAATCACAATCATCAAGAATGCAAAAGAATCGAGGAGGATCCGCGTCGCCGATCCAGTATCAGCGGCGATCGCTCGATGCGCTGGTGGCGATCGGCAGCCAGCGGCGCCATGGATTGAAGTTGGAGCGGCCACCGCGGATCCATGTTCGGCAACGTGTAGTAAGCGTTCGTTCTGCACCTTCTCCGGCGGCTCGACGGTGAGGTCACGCGCGATGGCGGGCGTGCAAGCATCGGCGGTGCTCCGGGCCGGCAGGTGGCTCCTGCCGCTCACCATCCCAGTGTGCTGCGTCGTGTGGATGCTCCTCGTCTTCTCGCCTCCGACGCCCGAGCTCGATGCGGGCCACCGCCAGAGTTTCCACGTGAGCGTTGGGGAGACCGTGGGCGCGATGGAGCGTCGGGGCACGCCGCCGGTGGCCGAGCGTGGAGATGTCGTACACGCGTCACCGCCGCCGCCGGAGCGTCTAGCGAGAACAAAACGCCACCGTCGTCGCCTCCAGCGGCGCCGGAGAGCGAAGAGACCATTGAAACGTCTCCGCCGCCTCTGGAACGCCGACCAAGAGCACGACCTTCGCAACCGCTGCCGCCGGAGCGTGAACAGATCCTTGACGCGTCGTCACCGCCGCCGCCAGTGCGGCAATCAAGAACAAAGATTCCACCTTCGCCGCCGCTGCCGCAGCCGTCTGATCAACGATTGGCGAGGGCGCAGAAGAAGCCGGCAGCCGTGGCCGACAGGTGCGCCGCCCGGTACATCTACGTCCAGGACCTGCCAAGCCGGTTCAACGCCGACCTACTCCGCGACTGCCGGTCACTATCGGAGTGGACGGACATGTGCAGGCACGTCGCCAACGCCGGCATGGGCCCGCGGCTGACGCGCACCGGCGGCGTGCTCCCGCCCACGGGCTGGTACGACACGAACCAGTTCACCCTCGAGGTCATCTTCCACAACCGGATGCGGCAGTACGGCTGCCTCACCACCGACGCCTCCCGCGCCGCCGCCGTCTACGTGCCCTACTACGCGGGGCTCGACGTCGGCCGGCACCTGTGGGGGTTCAGCAACGACGTGCGAGACGCCCTCGCCGAGGACCTCGTTGGCTGGCTCCGGTCGTCGCCCGCGTGGGCGGCGCACGGCGGGCGTGACCACTTCCTCGTCGGCGGCCGCATCGCGTGGGACTTCCAGCGCGAGGACGGCGGCGAGTGGGGCAGCCACCTGCTGTTCCTCCCGGAGGCGAGGAACATGACGGCGCTCGTGCTCGAGTCCGGCCCGTGGCACGTGGGCGACGTGGGCGTGCCGTACCCGACCTACCTCCACCCGTCGCGCGCCGCCGAGGTGGCCTCCTAGCAGCGGACACTCCGTCGCGCGCGACGCCCCTGGCTGTTCGTGTTCGTCGGCGCGCGGCGGCCGGCGAGGGCAGCAGCGGCACCCTGCGCGACAGCGTGATCGACCAGTGCGCGCGGTCCCGGCGGTGCGGGCTCCTGCAGTGCGGCCGCGGGCGGCGCAGGGACTGCTACGCCCCCGGCAACGTCATGCACCATCTCAAGAGCGCGGCCTTCTGCCTGCAGCCGCCGGGGGACTCGTACACGCGGCGGTCGGCGTTCGACGCCATGCTCGCCGGCTGCGTGCCGGTGTTCTTCCACCCGGGCTCAGCTTACACGCAGTACAGGTGGCACCTGCCGGCCGACCACACCAGGTACTCCGTGTTCGTGCCGGGGGACAGCGTGCGCAACGGCACCGTGCGCGTGGAGGACGCGCTCCGGCGGTTCGGCCCGGCAGAAGTGGCGGCGATGAGGGAGCAGGTGATCCAGATGATACCCGGCATCGTGTACAGGGACCCGAGGGCTCCCTCCACGGGTGTGCAGTTCAGGGACGCCTTTGATGTGGCCATCGATGGCTTAATCAGGAGGGTCAACAGTATAAAGCGGGGGCTGCCTCCACGGCCGGACGACGATGACCTGCGCCGGTGGGATGGCTATTTTGACATGCGGTGATCTTGTGCTGCTTGCTCAATCCCTCATGGCTGGTGCACACTGTTCTTGCTTTTATTCTGAATAGCTAGGCAAAGAGATGAAGTTACTTTGGCCTGCTGTATACTGTTTACCATCATCAAGTTACTGTTGACCGTCGCCATTTCCTTTTTAGATCATAAATAGAAACAGAACCATCACTTCCTTTTATCCATAGACAAAGCTTCTCTGATTTCACCATAAATTAAATTTTTTTTAAAGGTTTCAACTTTTCATATAGGTCTCTGTTTGCAAGTCCCAACAGGAAATAATAGGTAACATGTTGAAACTCTTCTTTCCAAAGAGCCCACATCACATTCTGGCAATGTCCACAAAAGTCAAAATCAAAGTCATTCAAATATAGCTTCGTAGATTCAACAGTAATTAAAGCATCATAACAAATTGATGAAAATGAAAATGGTTCGCAGGCTGCACAAAAAAGTGAACCATATAAACAACTATATGATTCTGAAGCATAAGTGATACAGTGCAACGCAGACCAAACATAACTGAACAAAATGCAGATTTTAAATCGCCTGATAACTGGAACTAGCTGGGTGCATTTTGAAAATGCAACATACTATAAATGTCATCCAGCAACAAACTTTGATTCAACTTAACCATAAGAAAAAGAAGAGCCAAACATAACAAATTTAGACATCAGGGACATAGTAAAAGGAGGGAATTGTAAGCACCGCAACCCCAGAATTGAAGCAGGAAGAGGCAAAAAATGCCAAATTTAGACATCAGGAACATATTATAAGGAGGGTATTGTAAGCACCACAACCCCAGAGGTGAAGCTTAAAACATCCATCTTATCTTAGATACTAGTAGTACTTAGAAACTACTTACACAGGTTTACTGAGAAAAGTGCCATAACAGAGACGAGGGGCTTTACATGGTATATTACTGAGAGCTTGCCAGTGCCAGACCATAACAAGCTCACAGAAGCAGAACTAGCAATAGCAGACAAATCGAGCATGTCTGACAAGGTGTTTCTAAGGAAGAACAGAAGGGAGCAAAGAGAGCACCTCAGGCTCACAAAGAGCGAGGGCGCCTATACTACTGCCAAAATAGCCTGTTAGCGCATCCCACAAGTGTGGCAAAACCGAACGAGAGCATATCAGATCTCTCCTTCAGGTTGTAGGACTGCTTGCTTTATTCTATACCTTAGTTTGCTTAGTAATACTACTGTGTATTAGGGAGGTAAGTGTTGTCAAACGATCTTGAAGTGCTCAACCATGAAGCCACAGGTGGTGCAGGACTTCAGTAGTGTCACTGAGGCAAGGAAGCATCCCCGGCAAGCGATGGTGTGCATACATGGTGAGCATCTGACGATTGCCTCAGCTCCACGGCAGACAACCATCAACTGGCACCTTTGATCTAAAGCGCGCTCTGTGAGTCCCTGCAAATTCATCAACTGGTCAAGACCAATCCAACTCATGTAGAAACAAAATTTCAAACAATCTACAAATGATATAAACTATTTCTTGACAAGAGGGCGTCAAAGGCAATTCTAATTGTTTGAAGAATATTCATTACCATGTATCTGTATGTTGCATCCACTGCAGGGGATGACTTGACTCCACTTACAGAAGTGCCACAAACCATACATGCTCTGACATTGCACCTCATCATGCAGGCAACACAGATCTTATGAAGGCAGGGGACAAGCTGCATCCCAGCTTCACAAGATCGACATATGATGCAGCAGTCACTCCTGGGATATGGAGTCTGAAGTACAAACAACAATATTAGTACAACATTATTCTGAGCATAACCAACATAATAAACATTTGTAAGTTTGCAAGCAGGCAGCCCTTACCAGGTACTTGTCCCACTGAGACTGGAAGAAAGAGAATCTCATTTCACCCTCGCAGCTGCTGGGAGTAACTGCTGGCCTTTCAAAAGGACGATCAATGAAGCATGCTGAAGGCCTGGACTCAATCAACTCAAGCTTTCTTGAAGGTCCAAACTCAAGCAAACTAGGCTTCGGTATAGGTCCGGATTCATTCTTTTGAGGAAGAAACCCAGACTCAATCAAACTGGGCCTTGCAGGTACACACTCAACCAAATCAGGCTTTCTTGGAGGTACAGATTCAATCAGAGCAGGCTTTACTGAAGTTACAGACTCAATCAGATCAAGCTTTGTAGTACTGACAGGAATATCGTCCAGTAAGCTACCATTGTCAGAGGAACTTCCATCCTGCTGGCTTTCAGCACTGCTCCTGCTGCTCTCATGGCCATGCTGATTCTGAACACAAGTCTCACTGCATGCATCATCAACTTGCTGGATCTGAACATTGGTCTCACTGCATGCATCATCACCCTGCTGGCTGTCAGTGTTATGTGGGGAGTCATCCGCGATGTTGGCATTGAGTGGTGATCTTGGGGAGTGATGATCTGACACTGATTCTGCAAGCTCGTCATGATCAAAGGAGCAAGGCTCTAGCAAGGGTACATACTTTGGTCGTGAGAGTGGTGGAAGGAGGACCATGTGCGTTGCAGGTCCACTTCCAACAGGAACTACACACATTCTGCAGATGCCAGGGAGGGAGCGCATAAAGTCACTTAGCTTAGGATAACCAAGTGCGGTGTGATCAAGCTCCATCCTGCAAGTTGCTCTGAAATCACTCTTCAGAGAGCTCAACGGATACCTCTCTCCTCCAAGTCGTGCTGTTTCATCCTCAAGAAATCCTGGCAACCACTTCCTGAATATAAAGAACCAAGATGGAAGGCACTTTTCTGGCAATGGTCGCCGCTTCTGGAGGCTGTGTTCCTCAGTCAGTTCACCATCCAGCACCCTGTGGACCTTTGGGCGCTCCTTGGTGAATTGCCTCAAAGAAGTATATCTTTGGTCTTCTAAAGGCAAGTATGCTCTAGCAACAGCATCCTTTACCTCCACTCTCTTCCCAAGCATGTAAACATGATGAGCTTCCTTTGCACTTATCATATCCTCCTCTCTCTCAAATTTTACAAAGCCAAAACCTCGAGACTGAACTCGGTTGCCAATTGGTATCCCGATGACTACTGCTTCCTCCACAGGACCAAATTCAGCATTGAAGAATTCAATAAGGTACTCTGTCAAAAAGGAACAACAAAGAAAGTTAGAAGTGTATATTGGTTTAAATTTGTTAGCCACCAAGGAGTGCAGCATTTATGAAGTTTTACCAGAGTCTACTGAAGGTGGGAGGCCCCCAACAAAAATTTTGCGAGTGTAGTCATGCTTTGGCCAATGATTGTTCTAAAAAATAATGTAATGTAAGAAGCAAACTGACCAAAAAAAAGTAAGTATTGACAGATATAGGGATGTATGCTTAACTTACCCGAGGCACAAACTTTGAACCTTGTGCTTGTTTTGGAACATATTGGCTCTTACTCTTAGGCCCTTGTGCAGAACGATTACTGGACCGGAAATCACGTTGGCCTACTGATGTCTTAAGCCCAGTGTAGCTGCAGCAGAATTTAAAGAAATTACAGGTGAGAAGTAAAGATGTTATAATTCAAGTAATCATGTAGAGTAGCTGTTATAAAGTAATATCATGTAGTGTATACCAGACATACCTTTCATCACAGTAATCCTTATCAAGATCATCAAATTCATCCCCAAGAAGCTCTTTGTAAATTTCTTTTCTCATTACACGATTCTTTTGAGGTGAGCTATGGTTCCCTGAAGCTAGAACACATTTCTGTTAAAATGGAAATTTCTAGATGTCCACAGTTATTTAGTAATACCAACAGAAATGTAACCAATCTATATGCAATTTAATTAATTAAATTGCTTCCATCAAATTAAACTCCGGGCTTGTCCATTACAGCTGCAGAGATCAAATGAACTACAAGAAAGAAATGAAAGCAGATATCGGTATGTAACTTACATGGTAACACATTTGCAGAACTAAGAATGAAACGCATGTCCTGGGATGTTGCCACGTCAATTGGTCTTTGCTTTCTGTTCATGTCAAATAATTGCAGAATGTTAAGTGCATCAGATTATATAAACTAAATCATTCTTTCTATTGTCATTTTGCAACTCATCATTTGTAATTCGATTACTTGACTGTCCTCTGAAGATTTACACACCTCAGGTTCCGGGCTTTGGTATCAGCCCCAAAACGCAAAAGAAGTTTTGCACAATCCACAGAACCATTCTTCACTGCAAAGAATAATGGGGTTTCTTTGGTCTTGGTAGGTATATCAACACAATCTTGGGCATGAAGCAGAAGTGACTTTCGAAGCAAAGAAAAATAAAACCAATTAGTCACTCTCATAACTCACAACAGAGTAATTAGAAAAGTATGTAGCAAGAGGATACCTGAAGAGCTTTGTAATTGCCCTTAGCTGCAGCGCTGTGTACTGGTGTGAGTCCTAATTTGTTCCCCTGGAAAACTCTTGCGCCATTCTTGAGCAGAAGCCACACAATCCTGCACAATGACAGAAAAACTAAGATGTAAGAAAGCAACTATCTTATGATAGAATGGATAGGAATATGTAATTTCTAAGATGTGCACCTTGGCTCCTTGGTACATGAAGCACCGCTAAGGCACCAGTGAAGTGCTGTGTTCCCTTCAGAGTCGGCTTCATTGACATCAACATTCCCCATCAGGAGCATCTTTATGACATTCATATCTCCAACCTATACAAGAAAGGCTGATCAACAGAAGTCTCTGTAGAGATACAGCTGTAGCCTTAAATACTTCAGCATGTGATGCATAGCACAACTAGCGTACTATAGAATCAACCTAACTTCAGAAAAAAAGTCAGTTTCATTTTTCATGAAAATCAGTTTAGATCCGCAAACACACATTGGATACACAATTCACATTCTAGTTATAGTAGTAACTAAGAGCACATTTGCATTTTATAGAAATACGTAATTCAGTCAGATATCATGAAAAAGCGACAAAAAGAAGAGCCTCACATATAGGATTTGGAAATAGCTATCCTACTGACAAAGGCATTTATGTGTTACTAAATGAACAGTG